CAGTGATCACTTGTAAATTAGTTAGTCAAGGATATTATTTCCACAATTTACTTAAAACCTCTACTTTATTTTTTAAACGATACACATGTTTGGGTTGGAATTTTGGCTGTACCTGTACAAAACGTATACAAACGGGTTTTCACATTTAATTTTTTAAGGCGACGTTGTTTAAAGTGACCGAAATGTCGATACGATCCATATATATTTATCGATCATTTAAATAAACTTATTCTTATAAAAGAGGGGTGAAAGATACCAGAGGAACATTCAAACTCATAGATCGAAAATAAACTGAAAACGTCATGGCTAAAAAAGAAAAAGACAAACAGGCAAATAATAGTACACAAGATATAACATAGAAAACTAAAGATTGAGCAACACGAACCCCACCAAACACTGGGGGTGATCTTAGGTGCTCCGGAAGGGTAAGCAGATCCTGCTCCACATGTGGCACCAGTCGTGTTGCTCATGTTATTACAAACCCGGTAAATAGTCTAACTCGGTAGGTCACATTCGTTAAAAGGGAACGGGATTGTAGTTACGACATAAGGAACATATCCGATATCATCTGTGAAACGGATATTCCATAACGGTCAACCAATTCGTGATGGCGTCCGTAAAATTTACGAAGGGATGATTTCAACTTCACCAATTGGAACTCTTGGTTTAATAGCTTCCTTGCGAGCAGCAACACTCTAGGAAATCATGATAGGAAATACAAGCCCGGGAATATCGTATCAATTCGGAGATATATACTACGTATGCAGGTGCTGCTGGAATGTTGCTACATAAGCGATATCAATTTAACACTTTGATATGAATTAATGATATTATTCTAACATTGATAATAAATTTAAACATAATATATTTACAAAATGTATACCGTTCAATTGGGAGCATTCAGTTGTTGAGTATAATGTAAAACAACATAAACTAACTAATAAATGCCTATACTTATACAGTAATATATCATTCTTACATACTGTTAATACTTGTATCCTGCAATCAGCAACCTTTTGTTCAAATAACAGGTACACAAATGGATTTGTGGTTTATTTGTACTTTTACTTGTAATCAAATCGAGTTAGCGTTGCGGTTTGGGTCAGAAGTAGGGTATTCACATATTTCCCACTGGAAGTTCAGAAGACATATATCCAGCAATCAATCGACATTATAGGAAAATATGTAATAAGTAAATCTTATTTAAAAAATGAATTTGTACGACATATAGGTCGCACTTTGTAAATACAGCTGTTTCACAAGCCAGGCCTCTTTAGGGAAGATATATAATATTCATAGATATTTTGTTTTGTTTACCTACTGGTTCCCAGATACGATCTCTATGTGTCATCTCATAGAGACATAACTTGGGAATGTTACCAGTATAAAAACACATGGTACCGGAGAATATTGAATTCTGAGGAAGGCAAAAAGTGAAAGGAGGAGTAGTACAGAATTTTAGTATAAGTTTAAAATCTTGGAAAATCGGGCCATATAAATGTTGAAAATATGCCGCACAGCCCTATGTTTTGACCTTTGAATAAAATACATGTGTAGTAGTGCATATCAACTTTCCGTTCTAGGATATATTTTTTTAACGAAACTTCATAGTTAAAGTGGCACAAGGGGCGTTCCTATGGAAAATAGAATACAGAAGTGCAACCTATAATGTTATTACATAAAACATACGAATAATGATGATTACAATGAACATGCAATAGTATGTTAAAACATAGACTGAAGTGTATTTTATGAAACTAAGATAATTTTGTTGCTGTTCTTTATTTACCAACTAACTACAATATGTAAAGAAATGCCCATGCTATATAAATGGAAAATTTCGACAACTGCTCATTATGAACGGAGAAATTGCTAAAGTCAGTCATTACGAAATCGCAGTCCTGCATTACGAAATGACACCCGTGCATTACGAAATCAGTCATGCATTATAAACAGATGAAACGGGACATCGATTAAATCAAAATGGCGTTTACTTCTTAAAATAAGTGCCACCTTTTTTTTAAAAAAATATTAAATATCATAAAAAAAGTGTAAATGATGTTTAGTGTTTTGTAACGTCTTGAAACGGAAATGTTTCACAGCCTTTTCGAGTACGACTTTCGATTATTATCACTGTTTCATTTCCGTTGATCAATCATCAGAACGCAAACTACTCTGACAAGAGAAAGAAAAGTTAAACTGTCTGATTTATTCTCTCCAGCTACTTTATATTTGCTAGATAAAATGAATTGTAATAGCATAAGATAAAGTACTTGGATGAGAAATTAGAAATTTCATCTGACAATGTTGACCAAAAATCCATCGTGAATGCGAAAAGACAAGTTCAGCTATGAATTCCTGTATCTTCTTCACGGTAAGTTTCTTACTCTTAGTTTAATTGAAGAATTTTAACCATTTAATAAAAGTGTTATGAAATGGCTGTTTCTGTATTGGCCCTGTTATAGATTCGTGGTTAGTTGTATTTGGACCCGAGACTCGAAGACTGTTCTTGAATGAAGTTGGTTAATAAAAGTATCAATATATGGACTTTTTCATATTGGCTCTGTAATATGCCCTTGGTATTAATAATGCCCTTGGACAGTTGTAATGGCCCTCGGCGTTGCCACAGGCCATTACAATCATCCTTGGCCATTATTAATACCTCGGGCATGTTACAGGGCCAATATGACAAAGTCCATACATTAATACTATATAAATGAATATATCGTTAGAGTTGCATCGTATTTTTCAGGCAGTATAAGAAGTCATATAGTAGAAGGTACGTGGAATAAGTTTGTTTTCGTTTCGTCTGTTTTGATTTCTAATGGATTTATAAATATTTAAATAAAACGTTATTTGCATACTTGTTGAATATATATTACTCAATCAAGGGGAACGTAACGCACTAATATCTAATAGCAAAACGAACCCTTTTCTTAAAATGTGTTCCGGTAAATTAAGAAGTTCCTGCTCCACTTATTGTTTTGTCGTTTTGCTGATGACATTTACAGTTAAAGTAAGAATTCGAACTCTATATAATGTCATAAACAACAAAATTTGACAAGCATGTACTACACGAAATAAAATAAATCCGTGGTAATCTGTGATTTTATAGTTGTCATCTAAATCGGTATGGCCTTTGTTAAACACTAGAAAAGATGACATCAACTTTAAATTGAATTTAATATTGTATCCCATTTGGGATCTATTTACTATGAAAGTGCTGCTGAAGTGTTTAATAAGTAGATTTGAATTTATTGAGATTAGGAGAAATGTGTCCGACGGCGATTGCGTGAACAGTTTGTTGAAGTTGGTGTTCAGGTCAGTTTAAGGAGAACTACTAATTATAATGGAAGTTAAATGATAGTTGTTATAAAGTTGTATTGGCATTGGTACATTTCATTTTTTTGGAATTATGTAGCCCTACCACCTCAATCATGGTATATTTAATGTTCAACGTTTGCCTATCTTAATGTAAGAGTTTGCGATTACGTTCACAAGTTTGTGATCAGTTTGGGAAGAACAACTAGTGAACTACTGATAGTACATATATTTTCTTTTGGGATTGTGTGGCCCCTCACCCTTAGTCGGGAATCAATGACTTCGGAACTATTGCATGTTTTACATTTTAAAAGTCTGTGAATACGCTAGATAAGGTCAAGGTACAGTAAAGGGGTTATGTCACAGATGTAGGTGAAATTTTACATACAACTTTGACTAGTTGAACCATAACTATAAAAATCTGGCAAGAATTGTACCCATGCGAGTTCTAACGAGGCCATTTTCCATAAATTTAATATTATCAAAGGACATAACTCTTTTTAAAAAGTCGATCGTCCACCATTTTAGAAATTGTTCGAGATATTGCTGATATTAACCTATAGTATAAGTTTTATAAATATCTGGCAAGAATTGTACCCGTGAGAGCGCTAACAAGGCCATTTTTCATATATATCAAATATTTCCAAAGGACATAACTCTTTTTAAAAAAAGTCGATAGTCCACCATTTTAGAACTTGTTCGAGATATTGCTGATATTAACCAATGGTATAAGTTTTATAAACATCTTGCAAGAATTGTACCCATGAGAGCGCTAACAAGGACATTTTCCATAAATTTAATATTTCTAAGGGGCATAACTCTTTAATAAAATATTGATCGTCCACCATTTTAGACCTTATCTGAGATATTGCTGGTATTAGCCTATAGTATAAGTTTTATAATAATCTGGCAAGAATTGTTCCCGTGAGAGCGCTAACAAGACCGGACGGACGGACGGACGGACGTACAGACGGACAGACGGCCGGACGCCCGGTATTTTCATTTCCCCTGCAACGCATTACGCGGGGGACAAAAACGATTCTTTCTATGAATATTGTTTTAGCGACCTCAAATTAAATCTTTAACCTTCACTACGTTATTGATATTAACATATAAGTGTAAAGTATATTTCCTCATTGCTTCACCATTACTTTAAACAAGTTTAAATAGTTATGATTAAAAATGAATTACTAAATGTTATTACCTTGGAGATAAAATAAAACAAAAACATATATACAGGACTCTTTTTTCCTTTTCGTCGTAAGTCTTAAACAGGGAAAATACAATTCACTGCCCCTGTTATAAATCACAGTCAGAGAACTGCTCTTAATAACGTCACTTCGATCTGTCGTACCCTAGAACAAATTCTAAAACAGATTTGAAAAGTTTAACCTAATTTAATTGATAATTTGCATAAATATTTGAATTGTTGGTTTGATAATAAGACTATTTAAACAGAAAATAAGTTATATTTACGATTACGTAGCTTAGGATTATTTGTCTTAAAGGTTAATGAGAAGTTTAGTTTTTTTTTTGTTATACTTACGTATTTTTTTTCCCCTGCTAATTCACTCTAAAGTATATATGACCGACATGCTATACTTAAAAGATTTATATTTTTGCGTATTATTCACATAACTCTTTTTGAAATGTAACATACATGTTTGACTTCTTTACAGGAATACGATTGGCTGGTGGTACAGGACCATATGAAGGGACTGTAGAGTTGAATATAAATGGAGTGTGGGGATCTATTTGTGATAACGCTTTTGATATTGATGATGCACACGTGATATGTAGAATGGCAGGATATCCAAGGTAAATTATTATGTAATAATTTATATAAAAATCCCGATGTATTTAAAAACCGGACCCTTTGTAGGTTTGCACATTTGTCGCACTATAACGAACGATCCATTTCACCATTAGCTTTTCCTATATCTAGAAAACTTCTTAGTAATTAATCTTCTGTAATTAATAAGCCTGGTATTTTTGATGAGTGTTTTACATTAATAGGCGGGGCTGCACTGTACTCTATGTATTCTTTTTCTTTAATGCTGGCCAAGATGATACAATAACTAGTTAAGACTTCACTATTTCAAAATTCTTGTATTGGACAATTAATATGACACAAATTTCTACGTATCTAGTTATAAACAATAAAACAAAGCACAACCTGGAATTTTTTATTTGGATGTATGCATTTCGACAACTTCTTATTCCGCAGACTTTAATTTTCTTGTATCCTTATATTGTAACTTTTAATTAAAACTGACTATTTTTAAAGTCAAAACGACAAACAGGAATTATAACGTATTCAACATGGATACAGTTAACAACAGACACATATCTTTTTTCAAATCCGATTTTTTCTTGTCATGAACATTGAGAAGGGTGACATTAGCTGAGCATGAATCTCTTATCCTTCAGGTAGATAAATAGTAAAATAAAAAAAATATCGAACCAAAAGGAAAATTTAAAACAGAAATTCCTTTATCAAATAGTAAAATCAAAAGCTCAAAAAACATCAAACGAATGGAAATCAACTGTCATATTCCTAACTTGGTACAAGCATTTCCTTATGTAGAAAATGGTGGATTAAACCTAATTGTATTGCTAGCTAAACCTCTCACTTGTATGCCAGTCGCATAAAATTCCATTGTATTGTCAACAATGTGTGTTTACCTCGCGGTTTCAATTGGGTTCGTGTTGATCAATCTTTAATTTTCTGTAAACGTTTTGTTGTTTGTCTTTGTCTTTTTATCAGTTTTCATATGTATACAATATTGTCATTTTTTGTTGACGCATTGGTTTTGACTGTCACATTTGTATCTTCTATCCTTCTTTTGAGCACTAATATGATAGTATATTTGTTAATATACCTAAAAAGTCTTTCAAATATCTGCCAACAGCCCTTTTTTTTGATTTCTTCCGATAAATAACATCAAATTGCAAGTAAAGACAACTTATGAGGTTCTTTACATAAAACAAACCGGTTTAACGAAATATTTTCACTGTAGTCAGTTAATAAACTACTTATGATATCCCACAAATTAAAAGTATTATGTAGTGACTTGCAAGCATTATGACATAACAGTAGGTTAAAATGAAAGCACCTTTGATAAGATTTGTTAATTGAACAAATTAAAAGCTTCTGGAGAATTCGGAACATAAGTAAATTTAAACATTGTTAAAGATGCCATAAAACATGTACTTTCTCTTTACCTCTCATTTTTATACATTAATACTTTCCGTCGGACAGATACATTCGTGATTTGATGTCAGGAAACACTATGTGAGTTGAATAACATTGTTTATCCACAACATTTTTTATCTATAGGGCAGTGCAGGCATTTAGAGGGGCTCATTTCGGAGTGGCAAATGGTTCTATTATGTTAGATTATTTACATTGCACTGGTAATGAGACGAATATTGACAACTGCAGATCAGATGGCTGGTACAGAACTAATTGTTATCATTCTCAGGATGTCGGGGTTGCCTGTTTAGGTAAGAATACAGTTAAATTAAATAGTATGTCTTAACAAAAAACTATTACAACAATAATTTAGGATCAAAAGAAAATCTGGACGATCGGTCTTTGCTACTTTATTCAAGAGTTAAATGTTTCACCATCAAGTTAAAAGAATACTTAAAAGAATACTGTAAGTTAAATAAACAATCGGGACAGACAGTCTGCATTTGATATATAGACAGTTTTTTTAACCATCACGTTTAAAGAATAGTGAATTTAAAAACATACATGCACTTATTCATAATTTCTTCATTGAAATCTTTAACATTTTTATCCCTGCTTTGCACGCATAATTATCGTCATGCCGTTGAAGTATAACATCTACTATGTATGATGTACAGCCATTGATAGTAAAGTGCAGAACGGCTTGATTTTATACCAGTTTAATGTGTAGTGTTTTGTAAACTATTGTTTGTTTTTGTCTGTTTGGTGTGTTCTATTTTAGCCATAGTATCTAAGTTTTTATGGCTGGTTGATTTGATTGCCTTTGGTTATATCTGCTGTTTATTTTGTTATACATGTATATCGGCCTGAATGCAACCAAGTTGTTACTAAACTGTTCAAACAAACACCGACAACGATCTTTCATTGATATTAAATCCCTGAAAGAAACCTTGAATTTGCCCAAAAAAAAACCTAAAATAAAAAAAATCTAAACTCCAAGGTAAATTCTTGTTCTTAACAACCAACAAAACCAAACGCTCGACTACATCGACCAACGGAACGATGTGGATTTAACTGTTAATTCCTGGCGTGGTACAGATTTTTTTTGAAAAAAAATTATGGATTAAACCTGGTTTTATTACTAGCCACCTCTAAGTTGAAAAGATGACAACAGATATATTCCAATTGTCATAACTACAACCCCGTTAAATTTTCCCAAATGTGATCTACCAAATTAGACTTATCACCGGGTGTGTACTAACATGAGCAACACAAAGAGTACCACATATGGAACAGAATCTACTTACCCTTGCGGAGCACCTGAGACCACCCCCAGTTTTTTAGTGGGGTTCGTGTTGCTCATTCTCTGGTTTACTATGTTGTGGTTTTGTGTTCTGTTGTTTGTTTGTTTGTCCTTTTTCCTTTTTAGCCATATCGTTGTCAGTTTGTTTTCGACTTGTGCGTTTGTGTGTCCCTTTGGAATCCTTCGCCACTCTTGTAATTATTTTTGTAATGTCGATAATTTGAGTGAGCAATCCAAACAGACACAATTGGTTAACGTGACATAATTGACATACTCAGGAAAAAAAATTGTGCTAACATACATTCTAGACACGAGATATATGCAAATAACTAAATGGAATAAGGTAGCTCGAGTGTAATCGCCATCTTGGATTGTAACATAGCAGAAGAAACTATGGTAGATCTTTGATGAAAGGTGCATATTTTGAGAGTCATTCATTTGTTAGACTTTTCAACTGTATGAAGAAAATAATGTGTTTTGTCATATTTGCGACTGTTTTTTCTCATATACATATTTGCTTTGTTTGATTAAATTTTTTCAACTTTGTCAATTTTTTCTTTTTATATTTTGTAAGCCCATTATATGGGCTACATGACTTATATCTTCTCGTTAAAACTCTATGGTTTAGTTACTTTCTATCAGACAAAATTGTGTTTTCCATGAATCATCTATACGAAATCTGACAATTTTGTACAACATGTAGCTTGACAAAAAGTCCCGTGATTCATATTTTTTATTATATATTTGAGAAAGCCATGATATAAACTACATTTTGGCAAATTATTAAACAAAACTTTGGATTTTAATTTAGACCACTGATTTACCAACATGACCAAGACATACGTAATTAGCAAAATGTTCTTTATATTTTCTACCACTGGCTCGATAACCCTGCTTGGTGGACACAATCATCCTCTGCGAACTTTTTCTTTGGGGGAGTTGGAACATAAGTTTCTTAATGATTTATAAATACATTAAGGGACAATTAAAAAAAGAAAGGTTCAAAAGTCCACAAGCAGTGGTCTCTACTCAGTGCTAGTAAATAAAAATAACTTTGTGTTAATTCTTTGTGTCCGATGCATTTTTTTTTTTTATTTCCCATTTATAAGCCAAGGATTAAAAAACTTGAACACGTGAAGTGCTATATGACCAAAATAAAAAGCCAAATTAATCGAAGCAACTTTGCCTGAGAGCCTTTACCTTGATCATGTATAGAGTCTGATCTTAGCTAATCATCGCTGCTTTTATGAGACTAGAAAAGATGGAAAATAAAAAGAAGTAGTATAAAAAATGTGTTACATTAATGTTTAGACGCAGGCTTGATGCATTGGGAACGAACTAATCCAATTTATTATAAGAGTTGATTGCCCTGGATTTAAGTTATTGTTTCATATAGGTTCGTGATAAATTAACGGGTCTTTTGAAATAGTCTGATGATCATATCAAAGACCAACTAAAGTGACCCTGTGCAAACAGGTGATAGCTTTCTATATTTCATTTTTTAAGTACTAAGCAACCGTAGAGACATCGTCGTGAAAATTGATGTTTGTTCTTCTTCCTCTCATGGTGATAGCAGTTGTAAATTATCCCCTTATTTTCTGAAAAAATACCATAATTTTGCCATAATCAGTTAAAGCTTCAGCATATCTTCATAACAGTTCCTATTTATTTTCAACCTCAAACATGAACAGCTTAGAATTAGACATACACGAACAGACCCTAAATTGTTTTGTTACAAATGTTTTTAATTGTTTTCAAAATTTATTTCCAGGAAATGGCCCTGCAATTGGTTGACCTTTCATCACTTGTCATCTTAAATACATATTGATATAAATCTTTCAATCGGACTTTGTTTTGTTAATCTTAAAGCAGTAAAGGCGTATGTCAGACGCAGAATATTGATGTGATTCAATATCATTAATGAATAATAAACAATTCAGTTCATTTAGATTATTTTAAGGGCATTTATTATTGCAATCGTTAAACAATGGACAGAATGAGGTTTGATTAGTGATATTTTCGGAAATGGGGCATACAAATAGTGCTATCAAAATTTAAACTGTGATATTTTGACGATGAATAAATGGAAATGTCAGATATACTTCTAGATGGCAGTAATCCAACGATTTAAAACAGAAAGATATTAAGAGAATACAAACTAGCATTAACAAAAATTGTCAAAGATACCATACATGTACCTATGCGGTATGGGTTTTGCTCATTGTTGAAAGCTGTACATTAACCTATAGTTGTTCCTAAGTGACCAGTCATTTGGTCTCTGGTGGCCAGTTTGTCAATCATATCACATCTTTTTTGTTTTATA